TATGGGGACAACTGCGTTGCGAAGCTGTCGGTCCTAATTGCCCGACCCTTTCCCGGTGCGGACGGACCGGGTCCTCGGTCTCGAGCGAGAAGGCCAGAGTGAGCTTCAAGGCGACTGGGCGTTACCCCTCGGTCATGAATCAGTTCCGCTGTGGGGAGAGCCTCAGCTCCCCGTTAAACGCCCCAGGCTGTTTAAATGCCCGAGTGACAGTAGGGGGAGACGCGAATGATGACATCATGAGCGCGAAGTTCATGACAGAAGTGGAACAATAGGGAGTAGATGTGTGGATCACTCTCCTTTACCGTAAAATTTGGCTTCCATTCTGGAATACAAGCCTTTTGCGAGCTCAAGTGGCGGATTCAGGCGACAAAATTGATGCTCTGATTAATGCTCTGTTTTTGTGTCCTTTTATACACGTCTTTGATAAATAGGCCGATTTCGGCGGTATAGTGGGCTGGACTAGTCAGCTCGAATTCGATCTCGTTGAACTCATAGGAGATTAGCGTCAGCTCTTTCTGTTGTGCTTTCAATCCTTTGCACTAAAGCCACTGTGGTGGCGTTTGAAAAAGAGTGTTTTTTACACCAATGGAATTTAAACTCAGCATCTGATCTCCAGTACTTCTCTGCCTTAACCCTGTGAATCTTCTAATTCTTTTTAACTTCTGGGAACACGCAGAAAAACGAAATTTTTTGACATAAAGGTCGGATAAGCTGAGCTATGCATTAAAAGAAGCTGTATATTTTTCACTGTTACGATGATTCGTCGAGTTAGCGCGCTATGGCATCAATCAAGGTATGGAGTTTGTTAGCATGATGATGGCTACCAGGTAAACGCTCGCAAACAACCCCTAGTTTGTTGCTGGCTCCTCCATTATCGAAGTCAACGGGCAAATGAAAGGTTTCAGTGAGTGTTAGCCCTACTTCTATCATTAACCCCTTAGACTAAGACTTTCCAAAAAACCCCACTAGTTTGCTTGTGCAGCAGCGTTTTCATCTTGCAGAGGCTAATCAGCTGTAGAGATTTGATTTGCCTAGTCAAGATAACAACCGGGATTTGATCCCTGGCCCATACGCGCGCACCGGCCCCTCGTGCCATTACACCACCACTTTTTGAACAGAAATGAAGGCTGAGAATGAAACTATCGCCACCAATAGTCATTGGAGTAGTGCATAATCAACCTGGACCGTATTAGAGCTCAAGTACAATGCTATGAAACCCTCTGCAAGAGGGTGTTCGGAGAGCCACTGTCCGTGGCTCTAACTCATTCTGGATTAAAAAAAAACTGCTGTCGTCAAATCTTCCATTCCCGCTTTCGCTTTATCCGCACCATTAAATATGGGAAATTGAGCTCGGTAATGTTCTAATAAAACTCCAGGTCCTTATCTGATTCGCCTTTCCAGTCAGTCATCGTGTAAAATCGCGCCCTTGGCATCATAGCAAAAGATTCCAAAAGTTCCTCTATATGTGCGCAATTAGGCCTCCATAAGGACCCTGTCTCAAAAAAGCTTGTCGAATTGTTGTAGTATTTTTGACTACTTGTGGTATATGTGTACCATCCGCAGTCAAACGGTTAAGGGATGGGTATTCAAAAATCATTTTAGGCTAGTTCTCATATCAAGCATGTATCACCTAACAGCAAACAAGGAGTAATTGCGTTCGGTGATGACGTCGCTGAACCAAGTTTACAGGGTTCCGATGGTTCAGACGGTGCAGGAATGAAATGGACGCTTCTGACGACCTCATATCGTTTAGTTTGGATAAAGCCTCTGGAAATGTAACATTGCGATTGTGATGTCTGAGAGTCCTCTGTAAAATGTTGCTGGACAATTTTCAATTTGGAATTCGGTCTCAACATTGGTTAAGTGAAAAGATGATCTGCTACCACGTAAATGCTTCAGGATCAAGTCCAACCGATTCATATCGCGTGACCTACCGAATTTCTGTTCAGTCACTATTAGTTGCGATGACTGTAATACAGAGCCTATTGGTACCTATTTGACTGAGAAGTCGAAGTGTGAATTTTAAGCACTCATTGTCATAGTAGTGTTCAAAGTGTGCTCTTGGACTGGAGTCTCCCCTTTTGAAAAACCCATTTTGAGTAGAAATCTTTTATGCAGTCCGCTCGACCTTATTTGAGAATATAGGTCACTTTTACTTTCTGCTTCACCAAAATATGAAAATAATTTTTGTTAAATTTGACTGTAAAATTTGTGTGAAGTGTGGCATTGAAGCAAAAAATTCTCCAAGTACGGCTTCCCTGCCCCTCGTTCTCAAGATAGTCTGCTCCAGTCTCTTCACATCGCTTGGGTAGCAATTATTCTATATAGAGGCTCTTTGGTAAATTATGAATCCTTTTGTCTTAACCGAGATGCAATTTACCTCCGCCTTTGGATCAGGCTTTTTGACACATTTTACCTGAGATAAACTAACAGAATTCATAAGAGTGTTACTAGGAAATGGTTACCATGAGAACTTTATTATAACTAATGTAGTTAAGTGCTTTTATAAAAATAAGTTTATATGTTACAAATTTTCAATTGCTAATAATTATAAAAACATTAATAAGTTAGTGGAAGGAATACTTCGTCACTAAATTTCTATCTAAATGCTGGTGGAACACGTGCTAACGCCCACCTTTTACACTTTATATTTTTACATGTTCAGTCAAACTTATATTTTCATTCAATTTAGTCAATATATAATTCATTTCATTGCATGCTCCTCTGCATGATAAGTACGTCACATCAAGGTTTATTCGTCTTTCCCCTGTGTCTTTATTTCGCCAATCCCAACTCACTGATGAGCTCCGGGGATTGACGAAATAATAAGGTTCGTCTGAGGAAGGAGCGAAACGAACCGTATCAATTATTTTGTGTTTATCAATGGTTTTTCTTTCTTTGGATAAGGCTTCGTCGGCGTTGGTTGTTCCAATAATACATAGTACTGATTAATCATGTGACCTGAGATCCAACCGCAGCAGCCCACCTATTTTCACTTTGTTCAGTTACGTTGAAGACAGGTAGAACGTCGTAATTGAAGTTCCGTTCTTGTCGAAATGTGTTTCTCTAATAAAAATGGAGCGGCTTTGTTCGAGGAAAAAAAATCGCTAGAACGAGCAGTCGCTTCCACTTCATCGTCGTTTGCTTTTTTTCTTTTAATCATCTTGATTGTAGCTTCATAGATTGCCTTTTTTTTCATAGTAGTGCCATAGTTCTCTTGTTCGTCAGCAAAGAAAAAAAATGCAAATCTCATGATTAGATCAATGATTAACTGGTTCTATAACCCGTTTTCGTCAAAACTGCACATAAACTGTTGAAACTGATGGAGTCCAATTCGTTCTCCGAACAAACCGTTCTTATCAACCTTCCTTAGCCGACTATGTTAGTCCTTGATTTATTGACATATTTAGTAGAAAACTGGCCAACTTTGTAGGCTTTCCCGGGAATATTGCAGCACGATATGTATTGCGATTTAGGCACTACATTTTCTCCTTCTCTTTGAAGGCGCTGCACATAATCTTTGTTTGGATTTTCTCCCAGTAATTTTCCAAAGTGAAGATCGCAGTTGACCCTGAGGTTATTTTGTTCCCCTTTCATTTGTTTCCTCCCATATCTTTCGGACGAGCGTAATTCTAGCCGAAATCCTGAATTAGTCAGAGAATAAAGGGAAATAAAGAATGAGTGGCGTCCCTACTTCCCTTTTTATCGTTTGCAGCTGTTGAGATGGAAGAGCTGTGATGAATCTTTTCCTATTCCTTGAGCTTTAGAAAAGATACTACATGGCGGAGAAGGCTCCAGTCTAGCGTACCCGCTCTGTGCATCATGTTGCACACTACGAAAATTGCCTCGACTCCTTTCAAATCCAGGATAGAATTTTTTTTGGATATTATTTCAAGTTCCATTCTCATGTATATAGGTCACAATGTGTGAAATTCGTGGAATTCCGGAAATTACCTATTGACTTTTTGCTCGTTTAACTGTGTTAATTCGTATTTGTTGTTTCTATTTTGGGAACTTTCAGGTTAGGGAGAAGCTGTTTGCAATGTTAATGCTGTCTGCTTTGTAAGTCAAGAAGTGTATAAGTGGTGAGCCGATTCAGTTCATATGTTTTTCGCTTCATAAACTTATAAGTTGAGGCTGCTGCGTTTGTGTCGTGGTAAAGCACATCATAATTTCTTTTTGCCCCTATCTGAAACATACTTGGGCAGTTTATGGGATCAGTTGTTTAGTTTCGAAGAAGGAGATAGTTTTTACAGGAATTTCCTGTTGCTTCTTCATATAAGAATCGAGCTACCATGACTTCACAAATGATGCGCGGTAATGTACCGGTGCAACAGATGGCTCCTCAGCCTATACTTCCAAGCGATCAGGATGCGTTGATTCGAACCCTAAATGACGTCAGTCAAAGAGATGACGTTAAGCTGAAAGCAGTCCAGGTACTCAAGCGATGGCATTAAATTTTGATGACACTTCGGAGCGACCATCAAGGCTACTTTTTATAGGATGCATGGAGCAAGTTTGACGCATTCAGTGTCACGCCCACGTTCGATCAATTCCTGGATAGCCTTATGAGAGCGTTTCTGAAACTCTTTAGCGAGACGGTACCACAGTTTATAGTGGAGAACAATACTCAGGTAATTGACACCCTTTCGTAATTTCATTAACTAGCCTGACGGCTTTGTTTTTCGTGACAATGAGCTCAT